GGGGGGTTGTATGTCTGTGTCTGCGTCCCATTTCTGCATGGCGGGGACAATGTAAACAATGCTGCTTTGTTCGCGCTTCCTTCCAGGGCAGCCGAGGTGACGCTGAATGAAGTTTGGCCGATCAATAAGACGACTCGAGAGCTGATCAAGAGCCCCGAGCAGTTGTCTGAGATGAACTACAAAAGCAAGCTGGAGGCCGCTTCCCGCAAGCAGGGGGCCCAGTTCAAGGAGTACCGTCCCGAGACCGGATCCTGGGTCTTCCGGGTGAGCCTATCCTTCCGGGGGGGAGGGGGTGTGTATGATCTTCCTTCTATAGAGAGAGTACCGTCCTGAGACCGGATCCTGGGTCTTCCGGGTGAGCCTATCCTTCCGTGGGGGGGGGTGTATGATCCATCTATAGAGCGAGTACCATCCCGAGACCGGATCCTGGGTCTTCCGGGTGAGCCTATCCTTCCGTGGGGGGGGGGGGTATGATCCATCTATAGAGCGAGTACCGCCCCCGAGACCGGATCCTGGGTGGTCGGAGTGAGCATATAATTTTGGGAAGGAGGAGGGTGGGCGGGCGCTTGGAGAGGGGGGCGTGCTCGGATGGAATCTCCGGTTTATGATTGGCTCCCTGTGGTTGGCTGTATCGGCGCCCGGTGAGGTGATGGGACTTGTAATGCTTCTCTATGTCGGCAGGTGAAGCATTTCTCCAAGTACGGTCTGCAGGACTCGGACGAGGAAGAAGAAGGCTCCACCTCCACGGCAGAAAATAAGATCAAATCTGCAGCTCTGCCGCCCCCCGGACAAGCACCGCCCCCAGCACCGGCCGCCCTGGATGGAGGACTCACCCCTCCGCCACAGGTAGAGAAGGGCAGAGGGTGTAGCTGGGCGCCGAATCACCGTATTGTGGTGTCTGGGAGGGGCACGTGATTAAATAATAACCGTTCACTCGTCGTGTCCATAGTGTGTGTTATTGGTTTACAGATGCCGACTTCTCCGTGTGCAACCGTTCTGTGCCGGGCAACCGGTCTGTGCCGGGCAACCGGTGGGCCGCGCACTTCTATCATGCCGGTCCCAGCCTCTGAATGAAAGGAGTTGGTGATTTTGCAAGCTGTTATGTTGATGTGCAGCTCCTGGCACGCCGCCGGTGACTGGGTCCGGTGCAGCTCCTGGCACGCCGCCGGTGACTGGGTCCGGTGCAGCTCCTGGCACGCCGCCGGTGACTGGGTCCGGTGCAGCTCCTGGCACGCCGCCGGTGACTGGGTCCGGTGCAGCTCCTGGCACGCCGCCGGTGACTGGGTCCGGTGCAGCTCCTGGCACGCCGCCGGTGACTGGGTCCGGTGCAGCTCCTGGCACGCCGCCGGTGACTGGGTCCGGTGCAGCTCCTGGCACGCCGCCGGTGACTGGGTCCGGTGCAGCTCCTGGCACGCCGCCGGTGACTGGGTCCGGTGCAGCTCCTGGCACGCCGCCGGTGACTGGGTCCGGTGCAGCTCCTGGCACGCCGCCGGTGACTGGGTCCGGTGCAGCTCCTGGCACGCCGCCGGTGACTGGGTCCGGTGCAGCTCCTGGCACGCCGCCGGTGACTGGGTCCGGTGCAGCTCCTGGCACGCCGCCGGTGACTGGGTCCGGTGCAGCTCCTGGCACGCCGCCGGTGACTGGGTCCGGTGCAGCTCCTGGCACGCCGCCGGTGACTGGGTCCGGTGCAGCTCCTGGCACGCCGCCGGTGACTGGGTCCGGTGCAGCTCCTGGCACGCCGCCGGTGACTGGGTCCGGTGCAGCTCCTGGCACGCCGCCGGTGACTGGGTCCGGTGCAGCTCCTGGCACGCCGCCGGTGACTGGGTCCGGTGCAGCTCCTGGCACGCCGCCGGTGACTGGGTCCGGTGCAGCTCCTGGCACGCCGCCGGTGACTGGGTCCGGTGCAGCTCCTGGCACGCCGCCGGTGACTGGGTCCGGTGCAGCTGGGGAGCTGGGGACATGAAGGGGGAGATAATGGGGAGCTGGGGAACTTAAGGAGGAGATAATGGGGAGCTGGGGACATGAAGGGGGAGATAACGGGGAGCTGGGGACATGAACGGGGAGATAATGGGGAGCTGGGGACATGAAGGAGGAGATAATGGGGAGCTGGGGACATGAAGGAGGAGATAATGGGGGGGGGGAGATAATGGGGAGCTGGGGAACTTAAGGAGGAGATAATGGGCAGCTGGGGACTCAGATGAACAATTTCAACTTCAGCCAATCGGCTCGCGCGTATAAACCGGCACGTTGCGATGCGACGTCTGGCAGGTTGTTAGGGACGAGCCGATTGGCTGAAGGTGCTGTCAATCATCTGACACACTGCACGCGAAGCTCCGTGCCGGACAGCTTGGCTTCGCGTGCAGTGTGTCGCGGCCTTAACAAATTCACGTCCCGTCGTGCTGACTCCTCTGCGACGATTAGCGGGGGAGGGAAAAGTCTGCGGAGGATATAAGGAAAGTATCCTCCAGAGATTTATGTTTCCGTTCTCGTTTAATTGTAGAGGCGAGTCTGATAATTGCCCCCGTATACCCGCTTTATGAGCCTCCCGCAGCGTCACCGGAGCAACGCCAGGTACTCCAAGATAGCTGCACGAGTGATAGAAACATTACCCTCATCCGACAACAGGTCTTCATTGAGAGACCGAGGGGAGGGGCATAGTAGTATACGGGTGAAACTCCAATAAGGGGCCCAAACCCAGTACTGAGTACATACGCACGCTGGTATGGTTCTGTGTCCAATCCGTGTTCTATTGGTTGCGTGTAATATTCTCACTCTCTGAGGTTGGGGATTTGGGGGTTTCATGAGCTGTAACCCGCAATCATCACAATGACGACCAATCACGGCTTGGACTATCTCGCCGCGCATGTCGGGTATCTCGCCGCGCATGTCGGGTATCTCGCCGCGCATGTCGGGTATCTCGCCGCGCATGTCGGGTATCTCGCCGCGCATGTCGGGTATCTCGCCGCGCATGTCACGAGTCTCGTATATCAGTGTCACCGCATAAGCTGCATTAGTGACATAAATGAACTTTGCACCATATTCTCATTATTCCAGTTGTAGAAGAGATGGAGGGTCAGCGCGGAATGGTCTGACCGGGGGATGGGCAGGATAGACGAGGATCTGACCAAGGGAAGTGCAGGCTGTGTGAGGAAGATATGATCTATTCTGGAAAAGGAGGAGTGATGGGATGAGTAGAATGTATAATCTCGGGTAGTAGGGTGTGATTCCCTCCAAGTGTCTATCAAGGCATATTGGGATAGAAGAGTTTGAAAGGATGATGAGCGATGGTAGAGAGGAGATGGCGGAGGGAAGGATGATGAGCGATGGTAGAGAGGAGATGGCGGAAGGAAGGAGGATGAGCGATGGTAGAGAGGAGATGGCGGAAGGAAGGAGGATGAGCGATGGTAGAGAGGAGATGGCGGAAGGAAGGAGGATGAGCGATGGTAGAGAGGAGATGGCGGAAGGAAGGAGGATGAGCGATGGTAGAGAGGAGATGGCGGAAGGAAGGAGGATGAGCGATGGTAGAGAGGAGATGGCGGAAGGAAGGAGGATGAGCGATGGTAGAGAGGAGATGGCGGAAGGAAGGAGGATGAGCGATGGTAGAGAGGAGATGGCGGAAGGAAGGAGGATGAGCGATGGTAGAGAGGAGATGGCGGAAGGAAGGAGGATGAGCGATGGTAGAGAGGAGATGGCGGAAGGAAGGAGGATGAGCGATGGTAGAGAGGAGATGGCGGAAGGAAGGAGGATGAGCGATGGTAGAGAGGAGATGGCGGAAGGAAGGAGGATGAGCGATGGTAGAGAGGAGATGGCGGAAGGAAGGAGGATGAGCGATGGTAGAGAGGAGATGGCGGAAGGAAGGAGGATGAGCGATGGTAGAGAGGAGATGGCGGAAGGAAGGAGGATGAGCGATGGTAGAGAGGAGATGGCGGAAGGAAGGAGGATGAGCGATGGTAGAGAGGAGATGGCGGAAGGAAGGAGGATGAGCGATGGTAGAGAGGAGATGGCGGAAGGAAGGAGGATGAGCGATGGTAGAGAGGAGATGGCGGAAGGAAGGAGGATGAGCGATGGTAGAGAGGAGATGGCGGAAGGAAGGAGGATGAGCGATGGTAGAGAGGAGATGGCGGAAGGAAGGAGGATGAGCGATGGTAGAGAGGAGATGGCGGAAGGAAGGAGGATGAGCGATGGTAGAGAGGAGATGGCGGAAGGAAGGAGGATGAGCGATGGTAGAGAGGAGATGGCGGAAGGAAGGAGGATGAGCGATGGTAGAGAGGAGATGGCGGAAGGAAGGAGGATGAGCGATGGTAGAGAGGAGATGGCGGAAGGAAGGAGGATGAGCGATGGTAGAGAGGAGATGGCGGAAGGAAGGAGGATGAGCGATGGTAGAGAGGAGATGGCGGAAGGAAGGAGGATGAGCGATGGTAGAGAGGAGATGGCGGAAGGAAGGAGGATGAGCGATGGTAGAGAGGAGATGGCGGAAGGAAGGAGGATGAGCGATGGTAGAGAGGAGATGGCGGAAGGAAGGAGGATGAGCGATGGTAGAGAGGAGATGGCGGAAGGAAGGAGGATGAGCGATGGTAGAGAGGAGATGGCGGAAGGAAGGAGGATGAGCGATGGTAGAGAGGAGATGGCGGAAGGAAGGAGGATGAGCGATGGTAGAGAGGAGATGGCGGAAGGAAGGAGGATGAGCGATGGTAGAGAGGAGATGGCGGAAGGAAGGAGGATGAGCGATGGTAGAGAGGAGATGGCGGAAGGAAGGAGGATGAGCGATGGTAGAGAGGAGATGGCGGAAGGAAGGAGGATGAGCGATGGTAGAGAGGAGATGGCGGAAGGAAGGAGGATGAGCGATGGTAGAGAGGAGATGGCGGAAGGAAGGAGGATGAGCGATGGTAGAGAGGAGATGGCGGAAGGATGATGAGCGATGGTAGAGAGGAGATGGCGGAAGGAAGGGTTAGATCCCTTGTATTAAATCCAGCGGCACTCGCGTCCGCCCCTGGCCGAGGTTTTCTGGGTCCCCCGTTCCTCTTGGGGACTGTGACCCGTCTTGGTCCCCCATAGGAGCTCACCATAGAGCCCATTGAGCATACGAAGAGTGACGTTGCTCTGTGTGATTACTGAGACAGCGCCACCTGCCTCCAGCGGTCACTAACTGCAGCTTCTGTGACAGAAGCCATGCGTCCTATCGTCCGGAGGGTCTTATAGACCGCAAAATACGGTATATATTTATCAAAACCATACAACAGAGATGTACTAATCCCGGGAGCTCCGCCGCCTCTCTCTAGGGTAGTCCTGGAGCTCGGAAAGTATCGGTACTTGTACTTGGTATCTGTGCAACCCTAGTCACAATGGTAACGTCCTGATCATTAAGCCGGCCCCTAAGGATTACACCTCGGCCGTCGGGGTCGGCAGTCTCTTTGGTGCATACAAAATTCAGGCCACGGTGAAAGCCTATCGGGACTCCTTTCCATTTGGAGGCGACAAAAATGTGCGAGAAGTTGTTCTGCAAGTATTTGGGAGAGGAGGAATGTGAGAAGTGCGTTTCCTGAAGGATGGAGATAAAGTGCCGAGAGGCCAGAGATCCTTTATGGGGAGAGGGAAGTCCTTCACATGGAGGGGAATCCGTTTATTAGATGACATTATGGGGGGCGCGGGTATCGGCATATGATTTGAGAATAAGATCTGAATGGACGGCAGTGTAACTTCTCATGAACCCGGGGAGGAGGGGGGAGGGTGAGAGAGACTACAAAACAATACTAAAGTCCTCGGTGTGAACAGACAACCTGCATCTCCCCATCAGGCTGAGGTTAGACCCACAAGGGGGGGAATCCCACCTATGAAGGTCTAAAAGGAGGCAACAGTCACACGCGCCTCGGCACGCAGGCTTAAAGGAATATAACATTGCTAATAAACAGCCCCAATAAAGTAACATGCATCAAAGAACAATACTCATTTAACCATGAAGCGGGACTATAAATCTCATCGCCCTGAAGGGGTCACACAGAGTAGGCATTGGAGAAACGTGGCTCTCGGAATATCAGCCGGGGGAGTCCATGTCGACGGCCTGAGGTAGGGACATCTTACGGACACTCTTCATAGGCGAGGATATCGGCGCGGAAGATGGTTCCGGAGGGGATGCGTGTCTGCGACGCTTGGGCTGGATCAGTGACTGCGGCAACAGCTGCAGATCAGAGGGAATGCGCCTAAGGCTGGGTTCACACCTAGGCGGATGGAATATGCACGTTTTTCTTTAATGCGATTCGCGGTAAAAAAAAACGCGCGTTTCTGAGGGATACTTGGCTGTATCCCAATGGAACCGCCCGACCAAAACGCCCCAAAGAAGTACATGTACTTCTTTGGGCGTAGGGCGGTTTCCCGCACGTTCGTACTCGCGGAAAACCGCCCAGATGGGAACCATGCACATTTAAAATAATGGCATTTCCCTGTTTGAGCGTTTTTCCGCGAGTACGAAAGCGCGGAAAAACGCCTAGGTGGGAACCGGGCCTAAGACCGTGTACGGTGGAGTCCTGGTAGGTGCGTCTACGGTGGAGTCCTGGTAGGTGCGTCTACGGTGGAGTCCTGGTAGGTGCGTCTACGGTGGAGTCCTGGTAGGTGCGTCTACGGTGGAGTCCTGGTAGGTGCGTCTACGGTGGAGTCCTGGTAGGTGCGTCTACGGTGGAGTCCTGGTAGGTGCGTCTACGGTGGAGTCCTGGTAGGTGCGTCTACGGTGGAGTCCTGGTAGGTGCGTCTACGGTGGAGTCCTGGTAGGTGCGTCTACGGTGGAGTCCTGGTAGGTGCGTCTACGGTGGAGTCCTGGTAGGTGCGTCTACGGTGGAGTCCTGGTAGGTGCGTCTACGGTGGAGTCCTGGTAGGTGCGTCTACGGTGGAGTCCTGGTAGGTGCGTCTACGGTGGAGTCCTGGTAGGTGCGTCTACGGTGGAGTCCTGGTAGGTGCGTCTACGGTGGAGTCCTGGTAGGTGCGTCTACGGTGGAGTCCTGGTAGGTGCGTCTACGGTGGAGTCCTGGTAGGTGCGTCTACGGTGGAGTCCTGGTAGGTGCGTCTACGGTGGAGTCCTGGTAGGTGCGTCTACGGTGGAGTCCTGGTAGGTGCGTCTACGGTGGAGTCCTGGTAGGTGCGTCTACGGTGGAGTCCTGGTAGGTGCGTCTACGGTGGAGTCCTGGTAGGTGCGTCTACGGTGGAGTTGCTAGTGTGGAGTCCGGGTAGGTGCGTCTACGGTGGAGTCCTGGTAGGTGCGTCTACGGTGGAGTCCTGGTAGGTGCGTCTACGGTGGAGTCCTGGTAGGTGCGTCTACGGTGGAGTCCTGGTAGGTGCGTCCGTTATAAGTGAAGAGGAGGCGGAAAGGAAAGCCCCGGCGATATGCAATCTGATGTAGGATCCGGAGCAGAGGCTTCAGTTCCCTCCGCTTAGCAATGGTGGAGGGGGCGGGGTCTGCATAGATCTGATATGGAGCGCCGTGGAATGACAACGCATGTCTGTCGGGCCGCTTGCAGGATCTCTTCCTTGGTGCGGAAATATAGAGACTTAGCGATGACGTCTCTAGGCGGAGCGCCTTGCGTGCATGTGTCCCACAGCCATTGCGCGTCTTACCCCCCGCACACCCACAGCCCTTGCTTGTGCCGCCCCCGGAGTGAAGCACCGGGATACACGGAGGATAGTTGTATAGAATATATGGCGGATGGATTCGGTGTTGGGGGATCTCTGGCGACGCATTATATACAGATCATCATGTTTCCATAGCAACAGCTAATAATCCCACCAATACCAAATGTGATTCTGAAGGGCCGGGGGCCCCATCCCGGTGATCCATGAGCGAGCCGCGCTTCACTCCCCCCATCCCGGTGATCCATGAGTGTGCCGCGCTTCACTCCCCCCATCCCGGTGATCCATGAGTGTGCCGCGCTTCACTCCCCCCATCCCGGTGATCCATGAGCGTGCCGCGCTGTCGATCTGCCTGAAGAAGGGACGGGAATGGTTGGGGAATGTCGGCGCGCAGTGTAATATACATTTCCTTTGATGGAAGATACTTTGGTGTGCTGGTGACATGTTTGGATTTCTGCTCCTGGAGGTGGCGCTATAACCCAACCGATGAGGATCGGTGCTGTGTCCCTCCAATGAGTGCAGAGATGTTATGTTTGCCGTTCCTCTAGAAATGGTGATGCCGCCTGGTGACAACCGGCGTTTACTTCTCTCCCGTGTTGTCTTTGCAGAGCACAATGCTGGAGCTGCTGGGACATGGACTGGAGCTGGACAGCGACATGGCGGATGTGACGCAGGAGCACTTCAAGGAAACTACGGTGGAGGAAATGGAGAATGCGGAGGAGCAGGAAACGGTGTCTGCCTCCATGCACATCGCCTCCGCCCTCGGTGTCAACCCCCATGCCCTGCAGGTGAGCAGCCCAATCACTGCCCTTCACTGGCCCTTTC